GGCTTTGATTTTAATTATTATTATTAATTATTGTTATTATTATTATTATTATCAGGACAGTTAAAGGTGAGACTTCCGGATGTAATGATGGGGCTAAAGTTGCACATTCCTGGTATGAGATGCCAACCAACCTCCTCATGGACTTTCGGTAACGGGCCCGTAAGGCACTGTACTGTACTTGTACGCTAGGCCGGGTCTCAAGAACAACAACTCTTGGTTGTTCGCTAGTCCACCATACTATAAGTAGGTACGTACCGGTACCGTAACTTAGCCATCCACCAACGCCACAGGGACGAACTGGAAACACGAGTGGCAACCGAGACGACGGTGAACAAACAACCGTGATTCCAACAGCAGTTCGAACCTGGTGGGTGGGGTGGAGTGGAGTAGAATGGAATCCACCGCAGGCGCCGGGTGCTGTTATGATACCGGCACTCGTACTTGTAGCGCCCGTGACTGTCAGCAAACGTACCGGCGCCATATCATACTTTTGGTGCGGTGCTGTGCGAACAAATGGATAAACAAACAAACAAACAAGCAAGCAAGCAGGCAGGCAGGCAAACTCGGGGCTAAAGGCAGTAGTGCTACTGTAGTATCATACTGTGCGGGATTGCCTGCTTGATGGATGGGTGGACGGATGTTTCCGCGAATAACACAAATCCTTTCACTCCTTTTGTTCCTTCCTTCCACATACCATTCCCATTCCATTATTGGAAAGTGTGTTCTTTGGGATATACTGGTATGCCGTACAGTGCGGTAGTAGTTCATGATAATCTCCACCGGGGGGATTGATGGAGGGATCTTGACTCGGCCAGACAAATCACACAGTACTCGAGTAAGTACTGTACCGTAAGGTAAGCACCATGCGCAAGAACAAAAAGAAAGGAAAAGAGAGACAAGGGACAAAAACAAGAGAAAAACAAAAGAAAAAAACAGCAACCGGTATTCGGCTGCACTGCAACTGCACTGCACAAAAGCTCAATCGACATACCGGTACTTGTACGCTAATTCAACCCCTTGTTTCAGAATTGCTAAGATAAGCAACGTAGCACAAGCAACTTTTGTGCACCACTGAATATGTAAAGGCAAATCTCACAACCGCCAGCCAGCCCCCGTCGATGGGGTTGTGGGTTGGACTATTTATATTCTGGTGGGTTTGCCGGAGGGGACGAGGGAGCGTGTATGCGCTTGTTGGGAGGCTTTCTTTCTCACCCTCTTGCATGTATCGCGCATCCGGCCCGGCCGGGTTCGGTTCGGTCTGTCATTCCTCGACCGTGTCTGTCTATCAATCTGTCTGTCTGTCTGTCGGTGTGGACGCTGTGGCGTGATAACTTCTTCACGGCTAAATAAAGTTCTTTGGGGGGGGGGGGTTAAGGAGGTAGGAGGTAACTTGAGAGGGGGTGCGCATTGAATTGGAGGGGGGTTCATGCCCTGCGGGAGGGAGGGAGGGAAGGAAGGAGGAGGCTGGCTAATTTACAATTTTTTTTTTCGGATGAGGGTGGGGATGGAGATAAGATGGATCTGGTCAGGAGCATGATATATCGTTATTCTACTCGAGTACGGGGGGAGAATTTGTGGATATTAGTCTATGTGCCGAATGTGGTGCTCCCACCGTGGACTCGAGTACAGTACAGCGGCGAACGGAAGGAGAAGGAGAGGGAGAAGGCTTTTTACGTTATCTCCCTTCCCCACTTGCAAGCCCCCTGTCTGGCCGAGTTCTTCGGTTGGGATGGCATCTGTTTGTCTGTTCGGTTTGGTTTGGCTCGGTTTGCGAGTATCATGGATGCGGTCGCCGTTGGTTGGGTTTGGCTCGACTCCAGGAGACCGGGTTAACCCACGATACTGGTGCCACAACGCTGGACAGCGCTATCGAAGGCTGATCCACTCTCGCAAGAGACTAAAGGTGGAAGGGGATTGATGCCCTGGGCTACTGGTCCTGTCCCCCGACGTTATTGCAACGGTATCATAGTTGCAGCATCATACTACTGATATCATATCGTACCGGGGAGCTTAGGTCTCTCTACCTGTGCCCGGGGTGCAGTATAGCGGTGCGAGATCATGTAACGTGGTGCAGATATCTCCCCGCACAAAACGAGGGACGGAAATGGGGGGGGGGGGAGAGAGAAATAAAATCCTACACAAGGGGAATAATGGTGAATCTAGGCACAAGGTATGTGATATATACGATAGATTGGAATCAAGATTGAGAAAATGATAGAGCGAATGAATAAGACTAGTGCCACCCCAATCTAGCTTTATCGCCGACCAAAACCTATAGAAAAAAAAAAGACAACGCAGAGCAAAACAAAAACAGTTCTATCCTAGACAAGATGAAATGTAGAGAGAGGGTGAAAAAAAGTTGAGCTTTCAAGGAAACGCTAGACCGAGACGTCGTCCAGTATCAGATTCACTTCGCTCTCTATTGCAACTATCGCAATATTCTGAAAGCCATTTTGCAACTTCATTGCGTTCTCCTCTATCATCTCCCTCAGATGAACTGTTCTGACCGGCACTTCCAGTCGGAGGCTTCCAGCTATTCAAGACAAAGAGCGCCTGTTTGCATCTAGACGTCTCCTCGAAAAGCCAATTGTCCCATTCGGCGTGCACCATGTCTCTCTCCAGGCTATTGACAACTCTCATCGCTACGAGCAAGTCATGGCGGTACGACCCAAGATGCTGCCTAGAGAGCCGGAGCCTTCGTGCAATAGCGCGAGTCGAAGCACTAGAAAACCCTTTGCTAGCTAGAGCAGCGTCTGCGTCCATATCGGTGAAACTGGCAAGCTCTCTAAACTTCGCATAACTGCGGGGCTATCAGTACGCGCTGTTTTGAATAATAGGTAAATTTTGACAAGTGCCTTGGTGAATCTTACCATTGGCTAGAGCTATCGTGGACTAGATCCGTACCATTAAGAACTATTTCATCCATATCCTTCAAATAAACGGCTCTGGACATAATCCCATTTGGGGACACCCCCACGGCATTCATAAAATTTGCGGCTCTCCGTTCGTTCCAGTATGAAACCGTGGATCTCGAGCTAAGCATTGTGTTGCTCAAGAGAGATGCAGCAAGAAACAGCAGGATAATGCGCTGCGCCGACGCGAGCCCCCAGGCCTTTTGCAGAGCCGTAAATGTCCACATCATAAGGCTAGACACCGCACTCTCAAGAAAGCTCAAGCCAGTTTCCAGCATCATCTGGGAAAGGGATCTGTGGGCGATCGGTAACCTCGGAGCCCTTGGGTCGAGATCTAAGGCGAGAGGCGCACCGTCCGGCTCCCCCGCTGCCAGGTAGGAGCCCGCGGCTTCTTGGCCTATCCCTCCAAAGACGCGCACAGCACTCTCTATGCGGCTTTGAGAACTTAATTTCCGTGCCTGATCCGCGACGACATCCCCCAGGTCGAGGGCGTCTAAGTCGAGATCATCGAGGGCTTGTCTGTGGACGATTCCTGCGACAACCAGCGTTACATCAACCTGCCCCCATAATTTCTAATCAAATATGGAAGGATGACATACCTTTTGAGAAAGTCGGCTCCTTTGCCCATTCGACGGCAGTCCAGATGGATAATTTACACTTTGATTTCGCTACGTGAGTAATGGCTACCTTGCTGACAAGCATGAAATGCTCGCGGTGAGGCAAATGCCAGGGTGTTTTTCGATCTGTGATTACATAACACCTGAGGATAGGTTAGCCCACTATACCCCATATATTACAGGATCGCCAGGAAGTTTGGGAACCCACAAATGATCGTCTTGTTTCTCAATCGTTTGATAATCAACCACATTTGATATCCGCAATCTCCCTAGATGTCTTTCATCAGCACTACGCCAGCAATCGACCCCAGCCTCCGGGACCTACGTAAAATGTCGTAGTATTCAATCTGGTATCTAAACTCCCGCTTCATCCTTCCACCTTCTCGCTGGGTCCATGCGCCCTGTTGAATATCTGTGAAACCAAGCAAGGATGTCAGCATCTACTTTGTCAAGATCATGAAGATTCTACGGCAGCCGGGAACTCATACACCGTGCTCTCCTCTCATGGTATAACGTTTGGAAGACAGCCGATTTGTCTCCAAACATGACGTGAAACATAGCTTTTGGCGAAACCTCAAACTCTCGCTCAAACGCTTTTTTATCCATCCCCTCAGGTTCATAGATGACCGGTACCGAAGGTAATTTAAAGCGAGTCACTTCCCTGACTCTGCCGTCAATGCCTCTCTGAGTTACGATCGGTTGAGACGTCAACATATCGCTAGGCATTGCTTTAGTACCGAACTTAAGATCTCGCTTCAGAGCAAACAACCTACCCGTCAATCCGTACTCTCACAAGCTCGCCTGTACGTTTCCTTCGCTCAAGCTCGTCGTGCGCGTCTACGAACCCCACATCCTCCCAACTCTCAGTATCGGTCCCAGTCCGCTCCTCTACTTCACGCTCCAGTGCGATAAGCCTCTCTAGGACCTTTCTAGCTGGGAGCTTCGGCGGCTCGTCTTCCCCCGGTGTGTTGGCATTTTTGACTAAAAAGAGTAGGCGCCTTTGTAAGAGCCTTACTGGCTCCAAGAATATCTTGACCGTGATGTGCGGTTCACGCCCTTCCTGATCAACTCCTACAGCTTCATCTTCGGGGTCAAGATGCAAAAATAGGTAATCGCAGTCCTTCCCAGGAGCAGCCTTCACCTCAGTAATGGACATTAGTGGTATCACGCTGGTAAACACAAGGCCAAGATAATGTGAGTAGAAATACACGTTGTCAACTGTCACATAGCAGCGACACGGAAGCTCCTGTGTATCATTCGGGCTCCATGTTGCCCGGAAAACTGTCCGGTTGGCGTTTATTACTAATCCTGCTACGTATAGGGTGTTGAAAGGTGGAAACGGAATCCGTCACTCACCAAGTAATACCACTTCCCCAGGCCTTCTTCCGGGAAATAAGACTCTGAAATGGTTATCTTGAGCCCTGAGCTCCGGGGGATACCCCGAGGGGTACTCGTCCTTTCCGCCAGGTGGATTATCACCCCTGCCGGGTGAAAGGGGCCCAACAGTTGTATCTAAACTCTGAGTCTTTCGATGGCCTTTGGATCCGAAATCGTCGTTTATCGGCTCCTGCCCCGATGTTACCATCGCCGCTTTTGATAACGCAACTGGTGCCGGTGTACTGGCTAGAGTGGCCGGAGCAAGACTGGTAGGTCCATCTGCAAACTTTCCATCAGCTGGGGGTGATACCGGCGGATGGAATGGTAAAGCATTATGGCTCGCGGAGATCAAGGCAGATACACCAACACCACTGCCACTATTATTACCCGGTGAGGCTGGTGGGACTATCAGGGGCTGGTTTCGCTCGTTGAACCCCGCTTTCCGATGGATATCCAGTTTCTGTGCGATTTTTTCTCGGGTCCCTGAAGCCATTGGAGTTGAATTATCATTCCTACTGATATCAAAAGAAGTTCCTCTCGAGGCGCTTCCGAGGGGGTTGAGAGGCATAGTTAATGAACGATCGATTCCGGAAACGTCATCCTCATTCCCACGCTCACGGTGAACAAGGAGATGTCTCGACATGCTCAGTGGGTTCAGAGAGATACCATCTTTGCCTATTGGTTGTGGTGCGAGCGCTGAGGGAACATTATTGCCATCGTGACCCTTTGTTATGAATGCCGGCTCAGTAGCGGGGACGGGAGCCGAAGGCGGAATTATAGAGAAAGCTTGGGTTGATGCTGTAGAAGATGCCGATTCGACAGCGGTCCTTTTAGCCTGTTCAAAGACTGCGAGCCACGACGTGAGTTCTGCTTGGGTTTCCGACTGGAGCAATATTGTGGTATCTTTTGTCTTGACCTCGAAACAAAATCTTCGCTCCTCCTGGAATGCTGGCTTAATATTGCACAGAAGGACACCAATCTTTTCACTTTCCTCCATTGCACCGCCCTTGTATCCTTGCATGAGCCATCCAAATATCCCTTCCCTCACAAAGAACCAGCGTCTAATCCAAAGGCTTCGGGTTGGTTTACCCGTCAATGTCCTCATAAACAGCCAGCCTTGTTTTTCACTTGGTATGTTCTCACCTTCTGGGGCAATGCCAGGGCCTTTGCTGGATAGGTAAGGAACCGTGCTACTTGCGTACTCCTCCAACTCCCTGGCGGGGTGCAGCTCTCTCTTCACCTTCTCCTCCAATTCTTTTCTTGCCATAAGAAGCTCTTTGCGAAACACTTTATCACTCTGCTCCATGCCCTCACTCCAAGCCCTTATCCTATCCATTTCAACTGCATATTTTTCGGCTACTGCGGTCCCCTCACGTCGGAGGCGTATCTGCTTCCTAGACTGGTCCGATAATACCTTGGTCAAGGTACGGTCCAATGAGGCCCGAAAGATGGGTGCGGCAACGCAGAAATCTAAACATGCTCTAATGTACAACTTTCTAGCCTCGTAGAGTTGGAAAGCATCCTCACGGAGTGATGAAGGCTCCTTCGATTTTGACAATCCGGCATAGCGGGCAAGTAGAGTATCGTATTTCGCTTGAGTGGTCTCCAGGGAACGTCGTGAATCCTAAAGACAATTATGGGCAAGGATTCGTGATGAAAGTGCCTACGCGTGACCCCATACCTTGAATACCCTAAGCTCTGATCTTTGGAACCCTAATAAGGGCTCCACGACGGTCTGCTCAACCTTCTTAGCCCCATTTATAATGGCCCCCCAAAACCCTCTTGAACCTTCGGCAAACCTCCTGATAGCGAGTAGCGTGTAGTCCTGATCAATTATCGACTCGGATATACCATTAGGGACCCCCTTCCCTAGATAGTTGTTCACAACTTCTTCGAGCCCTATATCTAGCCACGTTAGCAACCCTATCGTATTCCGGGGGCGAAGCCTCAAACTCGCCATTCACCTCGCTGCAAAGCTTCAAGGTAGCCTTCAAGTAACCCTCCAGCCACTTCTCGACAAACTCCACCTGTTCCCCGTAGTGAACTACCGTACCGCGAAACATTGGAGAGTCGAGGGCAGCTTCCCTTAGGGTGACGGGCCTATACGTCATCACACAAGTAGGAATCAGTTAACCGTTATGGACAGACAAACAAAAAGCAACGAGAGCCGAGAAATGCACTGACACTAACGATATGGGTCTCGACAACATCGGGCGTAGGGTGCCGGGCAACACCGGGGAGAAGGGAAAGCCGGACTAATAGCAGCAGCGGGATCGGACGGGTGCTCGGAGGGGATGGATGCGCAGTGTGAAGGGAGATGAAAGGTTGGTGAAGCGGTGTTTTCTGTGGGGACTAAAGGAATATTGTAAACCGGGGTCGGAGGATATTACGGGAGAGAAGAAAATATGTGATTGAAGAGCTGTTCGGAAACATCAAATAGTTACAAGCAATCTTTGTGGTCGACCGAGTTCCTTGCTGTTGGGATTGCCCCGGAACACAAGCACCAAAGCCAGAAAGTAACGTTGCCGGGGATTACTTGCTAGGCTGCCGGCGGCGATTCACCACTTGTGGCTCCCTCCTCCGCGCTTTTAATGGTTAGAACGGGCAGTTTACCCTGCCACACCTAGCCACATTTTCGCCACCTGCTAACGGTTTTATCACAATCTGATTCTTCCCTTTTTGAGGACTTTCGTGTCGCCCGTTTTCCGGTTCGGGCTCATCTCATTCTGAGAGGCCTGGTTCGGCTCTTTCCCTTCCACCCAACAGCACACTTGACCACTCATCCACTCGGACCAACTCCTTTGCCCTTCGCTGCAGACCTCCACCCCACACTATCCCCTATCAAGACCTCAGAAAGCCTTCATCGCATCACAAAGACTCCGGCACCGTTTTACCGGTACCGTACCGTGTTCCCTCCACTTCCAAGACAGATCTTATCTAGCTTGATCTGGTCTTCGCCCGATCCTTCCCTTTTTTTCTCGCCCCTCCCCGTCTCCTGGGATCACCGGTCCGGTACGAGTACTTGATCCAACGAGCAAACATAGACCGCTCCCTCCTTCATCCCTCAGCAGACGAAAGCCAGAAACATTCCACCATGACAGCTCTTGAGATCTCCATCCCAACAACTTCCCTCGCCACATCACCGGGGAAGCCACACACAGTCTACCACATTCTCCTCCGCCTCCCTCTCCGCTCGATAACCGTCAAAAAGCGCTACAATGACTTTGTCGAGCTGCACTCACGACTGACCGACATAGTCGGCAGCGTGCCACCCAAACCGCTTCCACCAAAGTCCTACTTCTCTCGAACCGTCAACAACCCCGTGATGACTGAGGAGCGTCGGGACGGGTTGGAAAAATACCTTCTGGGGATCCTGCGCTCGGACGATCCTCGCTGGCGTGACTCACCCGCCTGGAGAACCTTTTTGAACTTGCCTGCAAATTGGTCTGCTGGATCGTCGGCCGCGTCGAGCACGAGCTCTCTGGGATACATGTTGGGTGGGGGTATAGCGGGAGGGGGCGGGCCGATCACGGATCCGACCTTATGGTTGGATACGCATCGGGAACTGAAGACGCTGCTACACGATGCAAGGATGTACTTGTCGAAGCGCGATCAAGCGAGGTCGGCTGGGGAACAGCACGAGGCGTCCGCTGGGGCTAAGCGTTGTCTCGTTAAGGTCGGCTCTCTGATCACTGCGTTGGATAGCGGACTCAAAGAACTTGGTGGTAGTGGAAGGGGCAATAACGGATGGGGAGCAGGCAAGGAAGGCAAGGAACTACTCGACGGGGAGATCCGACGACGAAAGGACTTGGTCTCGTCAGCCCGTAAGGAACGGGATGGCCTAGAATCCCTAGCAAATTCACTGGCCTCCAAGCGTGCTGCCCAAAGCTCTTCCGCTGCTGCTGCGATGGCAGCCGATAAGAACGCACTCTTTGCTGGGACCAGCGCAAGTAGGAATACTTTTGGTGGCGGCAGGGTTCTCGGCGCACCTCTGCCGGAAACGGAACATACCAGAGAACTGGATAATCAGGGTGTACTGCAGCTTAACGACCAGTACATGCGTGAGCAGGATAGAGCCGTGGAGGGCATGTTGAAAAACGTTGGTCGAATGAAGGAAATCGGGGCAGCCATTGGCGAGGAGATTGATCTTCAGAATAAGATGCTGGAGGATCTCGATCATGACGTTGACAAGCCAGTCCCCCCTGTATCATCCACATTTAGGATTAGATGGCTAACAACAAAAAAAAATACAGAGTCGGCAAAAAGATGAAGATCGCTAAGAAACGTGTAAACAAGATATCATAGACCGTGTTTTTCATACAAACAGGAACACCCAAACACTCCACGAGATACCATGTAGTTGTTGTAGTAGTATGGCGCTGGAGTTTTTTTGTTTTTTTCCTTTGCTTCCTCTCTCTCCCTCTCCCTCCACCCCTCACTTTACTAAACCTATCATCGTTACCATTAATCCGTTCTTTCTTCCATTCTCTTTTTCCCTTCCTTATTGCATAGCTGTTTCTGTATTACTGGTTTTTCTTTGTTTTTGTCCCCCTTTGTAACTATATTTATCTATTTTTCTATCATATGCCAATTTGGAATCTTACGATGCGGGATTATTATTATGAGTCCTCAACCTCTCTACCCTGAGACGGCGGGGCACGGGCCGGGATGAAACGGAAACGGAAGAGCGGAAAATTCGGGCTCCGGATCCCGCTGGATGGGAATATGGCACCCCGTGGAGGTCAGGGTTGTGCATGCGCGACTGAGTGCGGTGGTCCGGCACTGCCACCAGACCGTTTTGCACTACTCGTGTCGACCTGGTATAACAGCACGAGTGCGGTCCCAGTACTAGTACTTTATCACAAAATAACAATATTATTATACGTTACTAGCGGGCAATAACACCCCCACGATAACCACTCCTGCTTTCCGAAGCTAGACATTCACCCCGGCAGCCGGAACGTAACCGAGTGATTATCTGTGAATGTTGTTACCAATTCATTCCTGCATTCCTGTTTCTTTCTTCTCTTCACACCATGTAGAGGGAACAGGGGGATGTCATCTCGTATGGTACTTTTTGGCACCTGTCACCCTACCCTACCCTATCCCTTACTAAACAGTTTAAAAACTTCGCCAAGGGCTCAGCCTTACATCCTGTTGTAGCAAACCTAGGGCTGGGCACTGTACAGTACCGTACTCTAGTTGTTCATGATATGATATTATGATAATTATGATAGAAAATGTCGGAATAAGATTTAAAAAAATAGGTCGGGAAACTTCTGTGTTGTGGTTGGCAGATAAGCTGGTCAATAAAGGCGGCTTGGGGAGGATGGGGGAACAAAACAAGAAACTTATACGAGTACGAGTATGATACAGTGGACATGAGCAACCTGCGGTGGATACCATCATGATACTAGGCATATTTACTCCCTTGTTAACAGCAGCAGGCGGACAGCAAGCGCAATAGTGATACGGATGGATGGATGGATAGGCGGTAGTAGCGCAAGGTGAGAATTGTGAAATCGCGCTCAGCACGGATCGGTCCTGTGGCCGTTTCTCGCTGGAGCTACCCGGGGTGTGTCCCTTCTGAGTCTCCGATTCGCATGCCTGGAGAGAGAGAGAGAGAGAGAGAGAAAGAACTAAACACAAATGCAACTTATATTGTTTTTTTTATATATATTTTGTTTTCACGAGCCTATATTTCTTTCTTCCCTTTCGTGAAGACCATCGATCTGCCGATATAATCCTCGCCTTGCCACCAGAAGGTTTCCACCCTTTTTCTATCGGTATGAGCGCTGTGGTGAATGTCATACGCCTAGGGATTCTCAGGGGTTTAAGGCACGCTGTCGAACAATGAGGCGCCAACCGGTGGATCACCGATGCGGCCTGGACCGTTCGGACCTTTGAGCAGGTGCAGTACTAGTACACAACCTCGCCGCGAAACCTAATTGCGGTTCCTGCTATGGATGGTTTCTGATACTACCCACTTCCGTGGCCTAACCCGCTATGGTCGCAGGATAACGGCTCAGCATCGTGGCACCCCCCGCGCAACAACCGCCATGGGGATCGTGTTGTCCGAAGCTATTATTCGACAAAGTGGAGCAGCTGTTGAGATGGTTGGAATCGCCATGGGAATTACAACAAGAATTTTACAAGAATGTTTATTATTTCGTTGAAATGGAGAAACGACAGGTATCTTGGGAACTTGGACTAGCATGGGAGTGAGTATGGAATGTTATGTTGCATCTCTGGAGGCTGGGCTGGACTAGGAAACTTGTGAATATTGACCGCTGTTATTGTTATGATCGATGATAGCAATCAAGACGCTATAAGGGTTGACTTCGGATTTTAGATCGGTGATACGAAATAAGAGTGATGCTTTGTGATCCTTAATAATTGCGGTATAATAACATGCTGTCCATTTTCTAGTCGTTTCCGTTACTACCCTGCAATGTAGCACCCCCCCATCTACCCAACCGACCAACCAAGACATAAAAAAAGGGCACGAGAAAAAATAAGCGAAAAAGCCAGAGAGGGGTTTTTTTATATGAATCTGAGAAGGGTGGGTGGGGTCGATGCACATATTATTGTATGTACAGTCAATCGATTGGTGGAAGAAAGAGAAAGAAAGAAAGAAAACAAAAGATATGATCCCGATGTGTGGCCAGGGGGTGATTTGATACAGATAATATGCTAAGCTTGTTTTTTTATATAATTTTTGCTTATAGGAATTTGGGGTTCAATGTATGCAAGAATGGATGCATGGGTGGGAGGAAGGGTGAGGAGAGAAAATGTGAGTTCGCGGTGACTATGGAGGCGTTGGGGATGCTGGGGGGACTTGATCTTCGCCAGGAAAGGGTCTTTTGTTCCCTAATCAGCACGCTTTTTGTAGGTGCATAGAAGAGGGAATAAACTTACGGAGGAGCGGAAGTATGACCCCTATCAAAGAACTTTTCAAAATCTTTGTTCTCCTCGAACGGTCTATTTTCCCATTGTCAGCGTTTCACAAGTCACTTTTCTCAATAAGGACTCTTACCGTTTGCCCAATATCCGAACCATATCCTCCCGCCCAAGCACCTCCTTGGATAGCAATTCCTCAGCAATAAGCCCAATCTCTGTCTTCCTCTCGGTGAGCAATGTCTTGCACTTGTTGTACGCCTCGTCAATCAACTTCCGCACCTCCGAGTCGATCTTCCGTGCCGTCTCCTCCGAGAATGGTTTCTGCAGCTTCTGCTCGTCGTCGTCGTAGTATAGTGTGCCAATGTCCTTGCTCATCCCCCACTTTGTCACCATGGCAGATGCCATCCTGGTCACCTTGTTGAAATCGTCTGAGGCTCCACTGGTGACAGTGTCGAAGTGGAGTTCCTCTGAGACACGTCCTCCGAGAGTCATCGCCATTCGGTCCATTAGTTGGGCTAACGACAAGAGGTATTGCTCCCCCTGGGGGAGGTACTGTGCGTAGCCGAGGGCGCCCTGACCACGCGGGATGATGGAGACTTTGAGGAGGGGGTCGGCATATTTTAAAAACCAGCCGCAAACAGCATGGCCGGCCTGGATCTGCTTAGCCGTCACTTGGCCCGAGGGACTAGGGGAAGAGAATTCCTACCTCGTGATATGCTACCGTCCTCTTCTCCTCTGGTGAGAGGACGAGCGATTTTTTCTCGAGGCCACCGATGACACGCTCAATGGCTTGCTCGAAGTGGATCATTATAACCTGGTCAGCGTTTCCCCGCGCGGCTATTGAGTTGTTAGTCGGCATACGTATTCTATGATGTGAGATTGCACCTACCAATGAGAGCAGCTTCATTGACACAGTTCGCGATATCAGCCCCGGAAAAACCGGGAGTCAATGCGGCCAAGCGTCCACTCAAGTAATCCATATCTTCAGAGGTTACAATCTTCCTAAGATGAACCAAAAAGATCTGTTTCCTCCCATCCATGGTTGGTCTATCAATCGTGATGTGCCTATCAAATCGCCCAGGCCTCATAAGCGCCTTATCAAGAACGTCCGCTCTATTAGTGCCAGCTAGAACAACCACCTGCTCTGTAGTATTGAAACCATCCATTTCGGTAAGCAATTGGTTCAGTGTGCTCTCTCGCTCGTCGTTACCGCCTCCGATGTTTGCTCTGGCACGTGACTTTCCGATAGCATCAATTTCATCAACAAATATGATACATGGTGCATTCTTCCGAGCTTTGGCAAAGAGATCTCGTACACGGGAAGGACCGACACCGACGAACATTTCCACGAATTCAGAACCGCTCACCGAGAAGAAAGGGACCTGGGCTTCCCCGGCAGTAGCCTTCGCAAGAAGTGTTTTACCAGTACCCGGGGGCCCGGAGAGAATTGCACCACGTGGGATCTTGGCCCCGAGCTTTTGGAAACGTTCAGGTTGCTTCAGGAACGAAACAAATTCCATGATTTCGACTTTTGCTTCGTCCATGCCGGCAACATCCTTAAACTTTATTTTGACATCCGTCTCGTGATTGAAGAGTTTGGCCCGAGATTTACCGATGCCGAAAATCCCACTTTGCCCAGCTCCGCTTGAAGCACGCCGTGACAGCCAGAATATTGAGCCTATTACTAGCAAGGTGGGGGCAAAAGAAAGCACGGTTCCGGTCCAAGAAATCTCGTCCCGGTAAGCAACCGGTATTCGCTCGGAACTAGGGATCCCCAATTCTTTCTGAGCATCATCCAATCTTCGTTCGAAAGCCTCCACCGACCCAATACTAAAATAGTAGTAGAAGTTCCCATTGGCAGCCGGGGAGTCGGGATACACCTGGGCGGTAGCATCTCTGTGCAAGTTGACCTTCACTCGACTCCGGTTGACCACAGTCAACTTCTCCACAAGCCCCTTATCGAAGAAAGTGTTCCGGAACTCCTGCCAAGTGATCTCCCTCGACTGATCTCCCGGGATCATCCGGTAAAGCATGTAGGAAAGGATAGAAGAAACTATTAAAGAAGTGGTGTCAAACCTGAAAGAGTATATGTTCGAACCCGAGCTGGTACCACCGGCACCCTCCTTCTTCCCATGCTGTCCCCCTCTGTG